TACGTAGGCAGCCTACAGTTGTTTAGGCGCAGCCACGAATTAGAGGCTCAGGGTTTATGTTATTGTTTTCAGGGTATTTTCGTCTTTTACGATCCACAGTTACCAGGTGTCAATTTAAAACTGGATTCGGCCCGGATTTCAAAGTGGAATTTGGGTCGGGTCGTTTCATTACAAATTCCAATCAATTTTAATCGAAAATCATATAAAGAAATGATTAATCTGATAAACTAAAATGACACAATTAATGAAGCGAAAAAAAAAATCAAATGAATTGTGCTTTTTAAACCATAAATATACATTTAATTGAATGCGTTAATAGCCAAAAATATGATTGCATAATCAAAATGAATCAAAAGGCCAAAAATATGACAAATGGTAGGGGTAAGCCACCTCTATAGCAAAGTCATCAAGAGAAAGATTCCCTTCCAACAGACATAAGGCAGAAAATCCCCTTCCAACACCCAGTAGCATATATATAAAGAACTGTCCAAACTCTTTTGAACATTGAACATCTCAAAACTGCTGATATTTTGATTGCTGCTTGGTTTATTAAAATATGGTCAATATTTTAACATGACAAACAACATATAAAACATGTTGTTAGGCTATTTTTTTGTAATTTGCTAAACAAAGTATGATGCCACTATTTAGATCTCCATGTCTATATAAATAGTACCATCTTTTCATACATATTTTCAGGTTTTTGTATACATTTCACACGGTTTTAAAACATGCAGCATCACGCGGGCACCTTTGCTAGTTACATATAAAACTGTACCGGTAATGTTATTTGCCATCTCCAGCAAAAAAAGATAAATGTTATTTCCTATCACAAACACAAAGTATCATTATTTTTACATATATTATTAATACACAAACAATGGTTTCATTGAATCACACTCTTTTTTCAGTTTGGTCTGAAAATCACACTCTTTTGTTAGTTTCATTCAATCACCGGATGCTTTGGTTAATATCTGGAATGTAAGTTCACAAACTTCTCTCTCTCTCTCTCTCTCTCTCATAACTACTACATATCACACTATTGACGTGATGAAGTGATTGTAAGATGGAGGCATATATATACCCTACCTCAGAATTTCTAGTATCCTCGTCCAAAGCATCAATTCTTTATAGTCAACAGTGACATGTACCGTTAATTTTTCCGTTTTCTATTTTTATTTTTTGTTTCTCCAGGTGGTGATAGAGGATTTATAAAATCCCATGTTACAGTTCAATAAATTACAGATCAATAGTTGAATTGTAGGGTGAAGATGAGCTTCATGGCAACCTTAGGCTGCGAAAGGAATAACTGACGATCACAAAATTGCTTTTTGTTTTTTGATCTTTCACTGAGAGCATTCCATTTTGATCAGGATTAAACTTATGCAGGAACTTTGCAAGTCAGTCTGCAATTTGGCAACAAGAACTAATATTACTTGAATAAGTTGAGCTAGTACACTCGTTGCTATGTCCAATTTAGCACCAATGGCCTTCAAAATAGTTCTCTTTGTGCCTCTATTGGTTGCTGCCATGGCACTTCCACTAGCCGATGCCCAACTTGGGAATCTCCTGCCCCCTCTTCTCGGTCTGTTTCGGATACAAGGCACTGTATTTTGCACTGCCAATGGCACTGTGAGTGTCGGTGGCATTGCTGCTACCCCAGTATTCCCAAGTAAGTTAAATCAATTGGCCCAAGTTTCACTCGCTTCATGTGCAAGTCATCACTCTCACTCTGATCAGTATTTTTTATTAGCCTTTTTTAGCCTTATGACCATGGTTTTAATTTGTTATTGTTCTTGTTTATTTTGTTTGTAGATGCCACTATCCAACTGCAGTGTGGAGCTGGAAATGGGGTCTCTACTGTCACAGCCAATGCGTCAGGAGTGTTTTCAATCTTGTTGGATCCTCTACACTTTCTTCTCTCTTCACTTTTGACTGGTTGCAGGCTTGTTGTCACCACACCACTCGCCACCTGCAACGCTAGTTTGCCACCTTCAGGAGTTCTCATATCTGCCTTGCAGTTCTTTGGAACCACCCTCGTCGGTGCCCTCAGTGTCATCAATGTCACCCCAGTCGGGTTCACCCTCCAAGTCTAAACTTAATAACACAGCCTTAAAAAGAATAAAATGGTCACCACTACTGCCTCTCACTTTATAAACTAGTGTTGCCATTTGTATCATGTCAACTGACCATAATGTTCTGCCATCTCTATAGTAGAGGTATTGCAATAAATTGCTCCACTGAAACGCAGAACAATCTTATTGTTGACAGCATATCGAATCGAACGAGTACTCTTTCAATATCGGGATTTCTATGTTTTACAAATATCAGGTTCTTAATCAATCTCTAAATGAAACAGAGGCATGTCTCAGTGTTGTTTCATCCCCTAGAACAGAGCCATGGTGTTTGTTTCTCAAGGGCAAGTTTGCAGATAAATGAGTTTAGCAATCTCCATCCCAAATGTGTAAAATTTACTAGAAAACGTTAATTATATTAAACTTATACCAGCCCAGAATAGAAATTTTTAATGTGTTAGCCAAGAACAGCCGTCACTTTTTCTTTGGAAAACAGGATTGGGATGATTTCAAGTTTGTTAAGATACACTTCAGTTATCGTCAAATAGCTAAAGAACTCGACAATGCAAAGAAAACCTATGCGTATAAAATAGGTTCAAAGACCTGCATATATCTCCACGTTTCCACCTTCCTATTACTTCTTCCACAAGCTTTTCCATCTGCTTAAATATATGTGCCATATATGAAGACATATCATAAAAATCCACCCAAGACAAAATCAAAGAGACCTGTTCCAGTTTTCTCCCTTCATTCATGGCTAGGATCCAAGAATACATTCTCTTTTACGCTGAGCTCATCATCTCCACCGCTATATGTTCTACTATGGCCGCGGCAATTGCAGTCCTTATTCTCATGCATCTGATCCACAAGAGAAAACCCAAAGTTTATTTATTGGACTTCAGCTGCTACTGGCCACCAAACTCCTGTAGGCTGCCCATGTCAATGTTCCTGGAGAATGTCCTTCTGGATGGCACAGACCCCGACAGCATAGCTTTTCAAGTCAAGATCCTAGAGAAATCTGGGTTCAGTGAGGAGACTTGTATTCCTCCATCTCTCACTTGCTTACCTATAAGAAAGTCACTCTCATTTGCTTTGGAAGAGGTCACAACAGTAATGTTTTCTGCAGTTTCGGATTTGTTTGAGAAACACAACATCAACCCGAGAGCGGTCGATGTACTGATTTCTAACAGCAGCTTGTTTTGTCCCACACCATCTCTCAGCACTCTGATAATTAACAAGTTCAGAATGAGGAGCAACATAAAGAATTTCAACTTATCTGGTATGGGATGCAGTGCTGGACTTATAGCAGTTAGTCTAGCTAAGGACTTACTGAGAGTTCACAGCAACTCATTGGCTTTAATTGTCAGCACAGAGGCCTTGGTTTTAAATTGGTACAAAGGAAAAGTACCATCCATGTTGCTGACCAATTGTTTGTTCCGAATGGGAGGAGCGGCTGTGTTAATGTCAAGTCGAAAACAAGACAAGGGCAGGGCAAAGTATGAGCTGCAACACCTTGTTAGAACAAACAAAGCACAAGATGATCAGTCTCATGCCTGTGTGTTTCAAGATATGGACCCTGAGAACAAACAGGGGATTTCAATATCCAAAGACATACTACATGTTGCTGGAGATGCATTGAAGGCAAACATTGGTGCTCTGGGGCCGATGGTTTTGCCAATTTCAGAGCAGATTCGATATGGGATTTCGATAGTCATCCGAAAGATATGGAGCCAAAGGAGGAGGAAGACTCGCATACCGAATTTCAAGAAAGCTTTTGAGCACTTCTGCATACATGCTGGAGGGAGGGCAGTAATACAAGGAATTGAGAGAAACCTGGAGTTAAGAAAAGAAGATGTTGAGGCCTCAAAGATGACTCTGTACAGATTCGGAAATACGTCTTCTTCTTCGTTATGGTATGAGCTGAGTTATATAGAAGCAAAAGGAAAGATGAAGAAGGGAGATAGGGTCTGGCAAATTGCATTTGGGAGCGGCTTCAAGTGTAACAGCGCGGTTTGGAAGTGTGTTGCCAATGTGGGTGCTGAGAGAGAAAATGTGTGGAGAGACATAATCCATTCATATCCTGTAGAGATTCCAAACTAGAGAGACTATTTGATGTAACTTGGTATGGTATGATTTAGATTTAGTACTTTTATGCAGCAGAGTTGATGTTTGTCAACGAGAGTATTTCTGAGTCTGAGATACTTATGTGTTATATTCGTATTTGTATTGGTCGTATTGTTGATCAGTTGGGATTGGAATTGTGGTCCAATTGCATTTTGCCGTTTACAAATGTTGAGTAGGTGGGGAAGTGTTAAAATTAGGATGAATGTTGTTTTCAATCACTTTGGATTTGAATCTTGTTTCTTGATAAATTAAGGGCCCGTCTGGTAACGTTTTTAGAGAATGTTTTCAGAAAATTAAATTTCGTTGAGCATCTGTCTTGCATATCTATATTAAGGCCAGCTCCATGGATGAACTGTCTGATTACCATGCTCAACTGATTATAAACTCTTGAAAACTCTATATTTTTTTGAGTGAGAAACCTTTGAACTTTGTTGGTTGTATCAAGGGAAAATATGTATTTTTTGGTCAATTGGGTCTAGTTTTTGGTCAATTGAACTTTGTTGGTTGTATTAAGGGAAAACTGTCCTAGCTAATCCTTGTGATTTGTCCTGTCTTAGCCAATCCCCTGTAACAACCAAGGCCCTAAGGTCCAAATCAAACTCAAACTTCATCGAATTAAGAACGCAATATTTTCTGGAATAGATAACATAACCATTTATCGTTTTTTCTCATCTGTTGGGATGAGTCGGATCCAAAACTCGAAGAATAAGAATGCAGATGAAAGTATGATTTTATAAATAAAAAAACCAAAGAAACAAAACAGAATGGATAATTATCCCAACAATGTTATCTCCTCCATCTGACAAAAATGGTTCCCAATAATTGTCTGCCTTCCTACATCTTCCCACTCTTTAGCTGTCGCAGTGGTTTTCTTGCTTTCTGTCTTAGTAATTTGTGGAGTGGACTCAGATTGGGCAGGGTAGGATATCAAGGGTAGTTCCTGTTGAAGTTGGCTCACCATAGATGCGAATGGAGGAAGAAGAAACGGCAGAAAAAAGTGTTGAGTTCATAACTTGAGTATCTATGGACATGAGTAGGACTGTTTAGGGTGGTTTATGAAAACCCTAGTGGTTGTCACATATTAATTTCACACTTTGATAATCACGTTGTCTAAACTTATTAAATTAGCATTTGGTTACATTTAAGCATTAGAATTAGGTCACTTCACTTGAATCAAAACCCCACGATTTGTGTGTGTGTGTTGTTTGAAATATTGAGTGTCCTTTCCTTCCCACTGAATTCTTCTCACTATTCTATCTGTTTTGACATTTGGTTTCTATTGAGTTCTTCATTTTTCCATGCTGAATCCAACCATATAAAGAACGTAAAATTTGGATTAACGGTTTGAAAGTTACTTACAAGTCAAAAATGGAATAGATGTCAAAGCTGGAAAACAGAGAAAATTCGTTTCTCTCTTATGTGCCAAAAAGCGATTGATCGTTTAGTTTGTTATCCGGAGAATTTCCTTTATGTCCAAAAGCAATTGATCGCTGCTACAGTACCCGGGTGATAAAGAAGCGATAAAATGGTGATAAAGCAGTAATTAAGTGGTGATACAAGTATGATACAATGCTAATTGTGTTTACCTTTGATTTCTTGTTTTGTTTAATTTCTTTTACTTTTTTTTACTCATTTCTAGTATCCATTTGTATTTTACCCTTGTATTGTTTTAAATAAATGTTCTTTATGTACTTAATATCAAGAAAATCCTGGCATGCTACATGCATTCATAACGCATATAAGTTTCATTTTATTCCCTCTAAAAAAAAAAAAAAAGTTTCATTTTAATAATAAATAAATAAATAAATGAAACCCCTCCTTTTTAGTTTAGATTGCTTGTATTATTATTATTTTTTAAAGAAAAATGCTAGGGAGACCAACTTTAGATACCAACTTGTGTACCATCTCTCTAATAGAGTGTGGGACCCATTGTATTGGTGGGTTCCACCTCTATTAGAGAGATGATACACAAGTTGGTATTTAAAATTGGTCTCCCTAGCATAACCCTTTTTAAAAAGTCCTTACCTATGAGTGTGTATTAGTAGCCACAAAACAACATCGACCACTTTTGAGTGATCTAGGATTGAATCAGTTTCTCCCTAACATTGCGGCCGAACCAATTACAATATAACGGTTTAATTCGGTTTAATTAGTTTGGGCCTAAGTCCATTTTATTTCCTTTCAAGTTTTTCAACATTGTTAGCTCAATTACAACTAAAAAATTCACAACTTGCTACGTACTTTTTTCAATTTCTAATGTAACAAACCATACTAAAACTCAACATGTCATAAAACTTCAAATTTTAGTAACTAATAAAGCTATAATTCAAATATATATAACTCCAATGGTCCATCAAATTTCAAATTCAACATCCATATATAGTTATTATCTAATTAGAGGACTACACGTGTAAAATAAAATATCAATAAATAAATAGGCCAGTTTATAAAAATCTCAAAATCGAACCAAACCAAACTAAACTATAGACGGTCTAATTTGGTTTTTAAACTATTTAACTTTTTTTTTATAATCAAAATCAAACCACACTGATAATTACAGTTTGAATCAGCCAGATTAATGCCCACCCCTACTCATGAGTGGAAACACATGCTTGCCTGATTTTCTAATGTCCACGCATAAAAAAAAAAATTAAAGAAGGAAAAACTGCAAGCAGCATGAAATGCAAGATGGAATAATCACCTGAACACCAGATATTGCTTTTACAATTGTTGACTTTCCATGACCCACACGACATATAGTACCTAAGAGGTAAATAATTGCAAAATTAGACATGCACAAACTAACCGACAAGAAATTTTACCTACTATTTTATTTCTCTACAGAACGTCTCCTCTTTTCCTACTACTTTGCTCTTCTTTTTTTCCAACTGTTTTTGCTACCATCTACTTCAATTCTCATCTTTAATTTGTAAATATAAATTTGACTATTTTGATTGTATCATAAACATTATTATATTTGTTTATAGATTGAGAATGAATAATTCAATTGATGCAACGATTATTGGTGAAGATGATTTAGATTATAACCCAAGACTTGGTATGGAAACAAACATCTAACAAAAGCCAGACTCCGGTGGACAAGGTGCATATTTTTGGATCATTCTGCAAGATGTTTGATCCAGAACATGAATGGCTGCAGAGATGTTTAAAAGAAGGGAAAAGAGTATTTGATGTAATTTGTCAAGGCATGCTTTAGATTTAATATTTTTATTCAGTCGAGATTTCTGCCTAGAGACTATTTGATGTAACTTCACCGGATCGAGTCCAGCTTCATGTTGGTCAAAAGAGAAAATTTCTGAATCTGAGATATTAAAAGAGCTAAAACAGTCTAGGCAGAAGCCTAATGTTGAACGGCACTCAAATCAAATCAACCAGCATGAACAGTAATGCCTAATTACCCTCCTAAAGATGCTGGCGATCACTAATTTCTAATAAGGTCCAAATCAAACTCAAAACTTCATCGAATTAAGAACACAATATTTTCTGGAAGAGACAACATAACCATCAATCATTCCCTCACCTGTTGGAATGAGTCGGGTCCAAAACTCGAAGAATACGAATGCAGATGAAAGTATGATTTTATCAAAAGTCAAAGAAACAAAACAGAAAACACAATTATCCAAACAATGTTTTCTCCTCCATCTGACAAAAATGGTTCCCAGTAATTGCCTGCCTTCCCACATCTTCCCTACTCTTTAGCTGTCTTAGTGGTTTTCTTGCTTTCTGTCTTACCAATTTGCGGGGTCTAATCAAATTGGGGAGGGTGGGACATCAAGGGTTGTTCCAGCTTGAATCGTGCCCCACCCAATAAGACGCCAATGCTTCTCAACTCGCCGACTGAGTGCAATTTTCTCTCCTCTGCTGGTGCACACTGGAGAGGTGAGTTGCAGCTTTGCCAAATCATTCCTTACAGCAATAACCTTAGCCCCTGTAGACATGGATCCTATATTCAACATCAGGATCTCACCCTTGGCCAGCTTTGAGACCTTTCCTTGCTTCTCCGATCCCTTTGTCCTGACCCCTAGAAGCCTTCTCAACAGGAAGAAGTTCACCTGCAAAATCATAGAGCACAATCTTCAGAACCAACAACTTCGGCAGCTCATGAAGTTGAAAGTATACCTAATATTTGTTAACATCCATTTCTGATCAACAAGACTTGCCTAGTTTGGGATGCCGAAACATAAAAGAAAAAAGATTCAAAATAATAAATACAATACAAAAACGAAATATTATTTCAAAAGAAGACAACAGTGCCACATCCTGAAAACTAAACCAAAAAGCAGTCAATGAGCTCATGACTGAGGATGCATATAAACACACATTTGCTCAATTTGCTTAGAAACATCATCTACTTAAGTTTCATCAGCTTTCAGAAACTAAGAAATAAAGAGATCATGACTGAGGATGCATATAAACACACATTTGCTCAATTTTCTTAGAAACATCATCCACTGAAGTTTCATCAGCTTTAAGAAACTATGAAAATAAAGAGCCTTGCAGCTGCAGTCATTTACCTCAAGCTCAACAAATACTTCAGGGAGAGATCCAACTTCACCAAGAACTTGACCCACTAGCCTATCAGCACGTGTCAAAGTAGGATCCATGGTCGTTCCAACGCCAATGAGACCTCCTGGAACCGCAAATTGCAACTCATTTTGCTCAGCATACAATGAAACTATTCTAGAATATATTGGCGTGCATTTTATGTTTCCACTCTCGTCCTTAACAACAATCCCAGGACGAACCTCAATATATTGGTTCACTTTCAAGACACCCTGCAAAGACACAATGTCAATTATGGTATTCGAGAACTATAGCATTTATGGACTATGAATCTTTCGAAAAACCCCAAATTATTAGGTCCAAATCAAGAGCAGGTGTGCACATTTCACAACCCAAAACTCCACCAAGAAAGTAGAATGGTATTGGGCAAGCAAAGCAGGTTTCAAAACAAAAACATAAAACAAAGACTCAAATACTGGAACATGATATAGTTTAAGCATTGTTGACACTTTTGAAAAAACTCAACAATAAAAACATACCCTGAGGATGCTTCCACCAGCCACTCCACCTCTTATCTCATCGACCTCAAACCCAGGTTTATTGACATCAAAAGAACGGATAACAATCATATTGGGAGGTGAGATAAAATTCCTTTCTGGAATGGGGATCTTTTTGACAATGTACTCGCAAACAACATCAATATTATACTTCAACTGAGCAGAAATTGGGACCACTGGTGCATTATCAGCTACAGTTCCCTGGTACACAAAATGTTGAATGATATAATTAGCAGACTGAAACTAAAAACCCGAGAAAAAAGGATTTGTGGAAACTTACCTGAATAAACTTTCGGATTGCCTCATGCTGATTGATGGCCACATTCTCCTGAATGAGGTCAACTTTATTTTGAAGGATAATAATATGTTGCAGACGCATAATTTCAACAGCAGCCAGATGCTCAGAAGTTTGTGGTTGGGGACAGCTTTCGTTAGCAGCTATGAGAAGTAAGGCTCCATCCATAATGGCGGCACCATTAAGCATAGTAGCCATAAGAATATCGTGACCCTATGAAACATAACAAAATCAAATCTAGATAAACAACCAAAAACCAATTCCGTCACTTGTATGCAACCATCACATTGACAGTCAGCCTAACCAATCTTTTCAGACCAATAGACACAAAACATGAAGTTACCACCAAATATGCTTTGTCTACCCCCTCCCCAAAGGAATTCAGATAATTTGGACAGTAGAATCAGAAGCTTGACAATGGTTAATACAGAACAACCCATGCAGCTAATTAAATGTTGCAAGAACTCATGGGAAGATTTGATGCACTGCTAACTATAATGCCAAACACGGACAACGGGTACAACCAAAAAAAAAAATGATAAGCTAAGACAATGTATAAATTATCTTGACCAAGATTCAATGTATCAGGCTCAGAACCTCCTGTGACGCAAGTATGACCAGGGATACAAGAACAGTCCTAGTGCAGTTATAAAGATATGTATCTTACCGGGCAATCTACAAAAGATACGTGTCTCAACAGTTTCATCCTGCAGTTCTCAAATCCAGGAACATCACAGAGAGGAGTGTCTTCCTTTCCACTTCCATATGCCCTAATTAGAAAATGAATACATGTTAATAAAATGGCAAAACATAATCTAAGACAATTACATTAAATGTGTACCCACTTGTAGCTCATAGGTCGAGGGCACCGCTCATCTTCACACATGTATATTTTTGCATTGGCATATCCAAGCTTGATAGTAATGTTGCGCTCCAGCTCATTTTTAAAACGAACAGTCTGCATAACATCAGGATTGTTTGCAATTTAAACAAGACAATACTTAATATCAAGAAAATCCTGGCAAGCTACAGTCATGACGCATATAACTTCATTTTATTGTAATTAGCATGTGAAATGTTGGATTCCATCTGGTTCACTATATTGGGCCCATATCCAATCAGCTTATGCTTTTAGGATATAAAGTAACTTAAGAACAGTGAAATGAAAGAATTTTGAAGCACAATGTGCACTCTAAAGGGAAGTAGAACAGAATCAGGCTAAAACACCCAAGGTTATTAAAGGAACTCCAGCAAAACATACTAAAGCATATCATATCTCCATAATTTAAAATAACCAGATACACTATGCACTTTGTATTAATAGCAGCCAAAATGTAAAACCTATATGGTCAAGATTACAATTATCCCCTTCTTTTGGGTTACAAATTATCAATCCTAAAGAACAATCCATAATACAACATGGAAACTACTAATCACCTGAACACCAGATATTGCTTTTACAACTGTTGACTTTCCATGAGCCACATGACCTATAGTACCTGAGAGGTAACTCGGATAACCCAAATAATTGCAAAATTAGGCATGTACAAAATAGCCAACAAGAACCTTTACTCAAAATAATTGATGGTTAAATAATATAATAATGACCTAAATAATCTTTAACGATTTTGAGCATTGGATTTGAGATTACCAATATTGATAGTCGCCTGGCGAGATATAACTTCAGGCGACAGTGGATGTAACTTTGTTACATCCAGTTTACTCAGGTCTTGCTCCATCAAACCCTTCCTCGACATTTTGACAGCTTTTACTGGATCCTCCGGCTCAAATAAGTAATCAGCTAACAACTGGATGGTATCAAGAGTGACAAACTGCACAAATTAATCAGACTGTTAATAAACAGAGCGGCACTTAGTTGAAAACAGACACTATACTGCCAAATGGACTAATGAACAATTCTTCCTAAAACTGCAAATCAAGAAACACATAATAGTATTTGCTACAAAAACCTAAAAGCATTTATAGTGCAAAACCACATCAAACTTACGGTGAACAAGAATATGAATTAAATCCAATCAATGGAAACAAAGAAAAATATATGTCAACAGCCAAAAAATACGATAAACATTTTTGTCCGAAGAAATAAGAATGCCATGCCAAAAGCTAAAATATATGAAATAAGAATTTAGGCTATTTTTGGGAATAGCATTTCCAAAAAAAATTGACAAATAAAATAACAAAGAGGAAGAGGAAAACCCTAAAGTCCTCCAAGATCCATTAACGATAGAAAACTGTGAAAACCACAGTACAGACCGAGATGCAAAAACCCTAAAAGCTTTAAAAGAAATCTGTTAAATGCTCATTTTTTACAACTAAAAAGAACAACTAATTGAGGTCAACATCATCGGAAAAAATTAATTTCTAAAAAATTTGAACAATAACACACTCGAATCAAACAGACAGAAAATCTAAACAAAAAAATTCAGAAAAAAGAAAAAGAAAAAGTGAAATATCACTAGCAGTATGCGAGAGAGAGAGAGATGGAGAAGTAGGGACCTGGGCAAGATGATGAGAGTGAGCGAGGGTTTTGTTGAGCGATAGAGAGAACGCAGCCGCACAGGTTTAAGAGAAATTCGCTGGTTGATAGTTCTGTCCGTCCAGGCAAAAGGATGAGAGCGCTTTTCTTTAATTTCTTACTCAATCGGGTCACGGGTCCTTTCTTTGGGTGGATCGGGCCCAATATTATATAGGTTATCCAAGCCCGATGAGAAGTAGACTCCAAGTAAAATTTAAAACTTCACTTCTTTTTTACCTTCTTTTACCTTGCAGAAAAACCAAAAAAAAAAGAGTTCCTTCCAAGCAAAGCAACTTGATTGGCAAGGAAAAAAAATATATCAGAAAAGTAGGTTGCTTGCGAACAAAGAAAAAGGAGTGACTTGCAAGAAAAAGAAAATCTTAGCTCATTCTCACTGAGTGCCTATAAAAAAGAGCATATGTGACAAGAGAAACCACCAAGAATCGGAGGAGAATTTAGGGAGAGAAAAATTTCAAGGCAAAGGAGAGAACTCGCAGCATTGAAACAAATTTCAAGTCACACACTCAAAAACCTAAGTGGTACAAAATCACTAAAAAAACCTAAGTGGTACAAAAAGCACCACCCAATCAAAGGAACTAGGTCGCTTTGATCCTACCCAAGCATAATCTATGGTTTACCCTAACCAAATTCGCCTCCAAATACTTTTCCATATCGAAATGATCCTCAAACACCACATTCCATATCGAAACCTCCACCACCAAAAGTACCAAATCAAATTCAATGAACTATGAGTTGGCTTGACTACCTCAAAAGGATGGGTAGGCAACTTGGTTTTCGTTCTAAGTGCAACTACAAAACCAAACAAACACATTTTTTCGCATTATGTTCCTTTGTAATTTTAACCAAAGGGTGTTCCCTTTTAATTCATTACAAGAGTTGTAATTAAGAGATTATGAGTCGGACTTAAAATAATAAAACTCTATTATTTGAATACGGGTGAAATTGTGTGGGAGATTTTTTTTTTACATTTTCCCTCAACACAAGGAATGTGCATACATGATGCTAGAAGCTTAATATTTTTTTTAATAACAAAAAATCTATAGTATATGGAAAATTTGAAGAAGTACAAAATAAATTATCACTATAATATTCTGAGAATAATCTTCCATTGGCAAATCCCACATGCCAAATTTTATTCCTATAAGGAGTAACCAAGAAACATCACAGATATAAAGCTAACAATCAGAATTTCAATTTTTATTCTAACTTTATTTTTCTCATCTATTTCTCTTTCTTCTTATTTTTTCCTACTTCTCCTCATCAACAGTACGTGAAAATCAAGCGAAGGTTGTAGAGCCTCCTCCATTGTCTTTTGGGTCACCAAATATACGGTGTCTAAAGTCGGCGACCATAAGAGGAAGGCCCTTGCGGAGGGACACATTAGGCTCCCACCCGAGAAGCTCCTTAGCCTTTGAAATGTCTGGCTTCCTTTTATGTGGGTCGTCTTCTGTGTTGGGCCTGAACTCTATCTTTGCATTCGGATCTATAGTGTCTTGTACAACCTGCAGAAACCGGGGTCCAAATACATCACTGCACTTCCACTTGATACCTATTGTAATAATAAACGACTCGTCTTGTCGTGACTTTCTCTTGAATGTTCACAGTTACGTAGCTTCATTCATTTGTGCCTTTTGTATTGTGAAATAGAAGCAAAAAATAGAGGGAAAGGCAAGAATTTGAACAGAAATATGTACCATTTTGAGCATTGTTTGTTTGCAATTTGCACAGTAAATGAGTTTAGTTAATTTACCTGAGCAAGTTCTAGCATGGTGAATTCACCAGGGTTGCCAAGATTGAAGGGGCCCACATGATTTCCTTCCATCAGCCGCATTAGACCCTCAACCTAACACATATGCAATAATGCACAACACAAATTGTTCAAACTCTAAATTTCATGAAAATTGTTTGAACCAATACAAATGATACACTATTATAAGCATTTTGAATGGTTTTGGCCAAATATGCAGAAAGCATCTTCTTTTTTCAGAATGATTTACAATTTAATGCAGAAGAAACTGTTTCACCATAACTTTACTTTGACCATGATCACGACAAAAAGAGGAGAAATGTACCAAGTCAGAAACGTATTGGAAACTTCTGGTTTGCTTGCCATCACCGTAAACTGTCAATGGCTCCTTCCTTAGTGCCTGTGTAGTTCATAGACACATAAAATTTTGTAGGAAAATCAAAATGAATTCATGTTTCATTTTTTTTTTGGTTTGACAAAAAGGCACACCTGAGCTACGAAATTGCTAACAACACGACCATCATCGATGCACATACGTGGTCCATAAGTATTGAAAATCCGAGCAATTCTCACCTGCAAGACGTTATGTACATTAGACCCATGAAACCAAGGCAATAAGACACAGAAAAATCAAAACGTTACCTCAATGCCAAGGCCTCTATGGTAATCCATGGTGAGAGTCTCTGCTGTGCGTTTTCCCTCATCGTAACAGCTCCTTACACCTGCCAAATGCCAACAGAACCATGTCAAAAGGGAATTGCAAATTTAAAATCATAGCCTAAAACACTTGTTTTGAAATAATCAAGTTTTGAACCATGTAGAGAGAACATATTTTTCACTAGGCCGCATTGCATTGCTGATTATATGTAAGTCTCCTTTTCACGATGAGAAATGTGATAAAATATTACTCGTCTCACCGTTACGAGACACACAAATTAACAATATAATTAATAAATATGGTGAAATTGATTCTAACTAGAACTGTTATTATAGAAAATTATCTAATTATATTCATATCATTTCGATATGTTGTCGATAGTGTCTATACTTTTACACTATCTCAATTTGCTACTGTAATAGTGTTATTTGAGAACATTGCTACAATAAATAATGAGGAGAGAGAGATAGAGGTTTGGGAGTAACTCACCGATGGGGTTGACATTGCCCCAGTAGGACTCAACCTGAGGGTGCTGCAAGGGGTCACCATACACCTCACTGGTGCTTGTGAGCAAGAAGCGTGCACCCACTCTTTTTGCCAGTCCCAGCATGTTCAATGTGCCCACCACATTGGTCTTGTGAACCCCAAGCTCACACAACAAATCAAGGACCCCAACCCAAAACAAAAATATCACTTTAACCACAACATATATATATATATATATCAAACACGAATTTAACTATTTTGTCTAAGTTTTGTGGAACCTCTCTCTCTCTCTCTCTCTCTCTCTCTCTCTCTCTCTAACATCCTATCATTCAATATTCAACTGAAAATTTTGATAAATTACGATTTTTCTTATTACATACTTTTGTATGAAATAAATCTTATCTTTACTTGGTAATGAAATTAAATATTTTTTTAATTTTAAACTGAACTTTTTCCTTGTATTTGCGCAAACTAATAAATTTATAATTTGAAGAGTTTCATGCTTGCACATAAAATAATGAGTTATTTTAATTTTGATCTTCATTAAGCCAAAAAAATAAACGAAAATTATAAATACAAATAATTTACTAGAGAATAATAAAAAGGATATGATGGTCTTGACCGGATTGAACTTGTAATGAACAGGAGAGGCAGGGCAAGCGAGGTGGTAGATCTGGTCAACCTCCAACAGAATCGGCTCAACGACGTCGTGTCGAATGAGTTCGAACTTCGGGTTCCCAAAGTGGTGCACCAGGTTCTCTTTCCTCCCCGTGAAGAAATTATCCAGTACGATCACGCTGTCCCCTCTAGCGATCAGACGGTCCACGAGGTGGCTCCCCACGAACCCGGCCCCACCGGTCACCACAATCCTCTGGTTCTTCTTCTTCAGACCTAGCGGCACCTTCCCGCCCGCGCTCATCACAGACCCAAACCCAACACCCCGGGCCTCGTAGAGCACCCGCCGGGTCGGGTTGGCGGGGAGGTCGAGACCCGACTCGGATTCGAAACGCGGGTCGTTTGTCGTCGCCAGTTCCGGGTTTGATAAGGGGAAGCTGCTGAAGAAGAGGGTGGCTATGGCGATGCCAATGAGGACGAAGAGGAGGCGCTGCTCGCGAAGCAAATAGCGAATTGGGTTTGTATGGGGAGGCCTGCAATTGCTTTGAGGATCAAAATCAATGGTGGGTTGTGATGATTGGTCGGGTTGTTCATCTTGCTGATGAGATTGGGTTGTGTGGGTTCTGTGAACTAAAGACTGGTTATCGGAGCTGATCATAATTTCAAGTTGGGTTTTGTGAGTGGTTCAGATTTTGTTGGGAAAGTTTTGGTTTTGATCGAAATGGAGGTAGCTAGCTTGGATTGAAACAGATGGAAAATGGAAAAAGGTGGGCAGCATGGGATGGGAGAGAGAGAGAGAGAGAGAGATAGAGAGGGAGAGATGGAGGTTGGGTGTGTGTTGAGTGATATGTGGGTGGGGGGATCAGTTTTTTGGGTCGAAGTGGTCGGTACATGGGGACTTTCATGCATGAAATTTTGCCATATAATCGTTCTAAGGCGCGTGCATCTCTCTGGGTTTTGGGTTGCTTTTTAGGCAATATGCCGATGAGAGAGAGAGAGAGAGGGAGTTACTTGCCTACTTTTGGCACCAGACTTAAGATGATTACAGTTTTATGGCAAGGTAACTAAAACGTAAATATTGTTTGGTAAGCGCTTAAATTTAATTTGACTGGTTTTTTTGGTTTCCTCCCAAATCCCTATACTATAGCATTCATGCTCCTACAGACAGACAGCTGTCTTGATTTCTTTTAACTTGGTCAAAATTCACGCAAAATATATAGATGCATCATCATTCATCAAACGACATTCACAGAGCACCACGTGGCAGATGAATGAAGTGCCAACGGTGGCCCTCGGGACTAAATAGTGCGTGTGTACGTCTAACCTCACATAAAGGAAAGAATGTAGCGTTGCCACATGATGTAGGGTTTTTTTTTTTTTTTTTTTTTTTTTTTTTTTTTTTTTTGGGGTTTTAAAAAATGTTATAATAAATTATTATTTTATTTTTTAAATTTTTTTTTTTTTAATAAGGATCTTTTCTATTGATATGGACAATAATATATTAAACTCACATATGTTATACGGATGTTAGAACTCGAACTCAAAATTGCTTGATGAGTTCCTTGCGTCTATTTAAAGGAAGGAAAGAATGTAAAAGACGAATGTGAAATTGAAACAAGAGCAAAAATGGTAGAAGTTGAGGTTTTAGGCTTTGTGTAGAAAGAAAAAGAACAGATTTGCAAATGAGCTTCTTAAGGCAGATGCCATTTGCTGATTGAACTCTTCCCCAAGATTTATGTAATACAGAGTGCATTGGCTATGGAAACAGAGTTAATCAACACTGCATCACAAGCGAAGGCAAATCCTGTGTTGGCTGTCACTTAACACGCGGGCAGTCTACAAATTAAAGATTTAATCCCCTCCCTGTTAGTCAAAAAAGCTGAGGATGGACGCAAAAGGGATATTGAATCTTTTTCCCTTGAAAATAAGAAGAAATTTTACTATTTAAATAAATAAATTAAAAAAAAATTCTAGTGCTTGCCAAAAATTCTTTCCGAATCGAATCTAATTCAGGCACATGTTCGAAATATATTTAACAAGGAGTAGTAAATAATACATCAAAATTTGTATAGTTCCTATCTCATGGCAATAAGCGGCACGACAACAGTAGAAAGCCTTCACCAAAACAGTAGATAGTGAATCACTTGTGAAATAATATTACACATTTTGATATTACACGTCACAAGAGAGCAACAGCAAAGGAGGATTGACACTAGAACCGTCGTATATCTTTAGGCGGCCTGAAGTTGAGGGGATGAGTTTCTGGAGTGGCATTTTCGTCTTGTTTCCACATTTTGATCGTCTTATCAGCTTCGCAACTAACCAGCCTTGTACCAGTGACATCGTAGGAAAGAGCATATATAGCAGCTTCACTATCCAGTGAGCCTGTAATAAAGCATCTCTAGGTGTTAGCCCCCATCCACGCTTCAGTAAACCGTAAAAGTAGGGAAGAAAACATAAAATGGTAAAAAGGCACAACACAGGGGACATACCAGGCTGTACAATTGTTTGGGATTGCTGAAAATTATGACCGCT